GGACTCTTTTAATTTCTGTTTTAATTTCTGTGTTGGGCCAGGAGTTGTTCAGCATCATGCTGTTTGGTGTCCATGTCTTTGTGGGTTTGGGGGAAATTTTGTTGGTGATGATATTTATTTTTATTCCATTGCGGTCTAAGAAGGTGCATGGCAGTATTTCAATCTTGTGAAATTTGTCTATGCTTGATTTATGGCCGAGGATGTGGTCGATCTTGCAGTACATTCCATGTGACGATGAGTAGAACGTAAATTCTGTGATTGTTGGGTGAAGTACTCTGTAAGTATCTACCAAATTGAGGTTCCAGATGTCTTTGTTGATTTTTTTGCCTTGATGATCTATCTAGGGTTGTTAGTAAGGTATTTAATTCTCCATCTATGATAGTGTTAGAGTCCATATCTTTTTTTACTTTACTTAGTAGCTGTTTTTTGAAAGCTGGTGCTCCTGTGTTGGGTTCATACATGTTTAGGATGGATATTTCTAGTTGATTAATTGAAATTTTTATCATTATGTAGTGTCCTTCCTTATCTTTTTAATTTTTGATAGCTTAAAGGTTGCTTTGTTTGATATTAAGATCACAGTTCTTGCCTTCTTCTGTGATCCGTTTGCCTGGATATTCTTTTTCCATCTTCTCTTTGAGTCTGTGGGCTTCCTTGGTGGTGAGATGAGTTTCCTAGAAACAGCAAATTACTGGGTCATGTGTTTTTAGCCAGTTTGTCATCCTATGTCTTTTCAGTGGTGCATTTAAGTCCATTCACATTCAGGCTAATTATTAAAATGTGAAAGTTTGTCCCTGTCATAATGCTCTTATAAGGCTATTTTGTTTTCATGTAGCTTTTGTGTTCATATATGTGTGCATTTCTTGTTTATGGGTGTGCTGAGTGTTCTGCTACTTCTGTGTTTGTTTGTGAGCTTGTGAAGTATATGGTCTTTCTTTTGTTTCTTTTTTCTTCTGTGACAGCACCTTTTTAAGTGACTCCTGTGAAGCTGGTCTCAAAGCAGCATATGCTCTTAGGAATTGGATGTCTGGGAAGGATTTTAACTCTCCCTCAATGATGAAGCTTAGCCTGGGTAGGAAATTCTTTGTTGAAATCGTTTATCTCTGAAAGCATTAAAGATTTGGGTCCAATTCTTTCTGGCCCATAGTGTTTCTGTAGATAAATCTGCAGCAATTCTGATTGGTCTCCCCCAGTAGGTACTATGACCTTTTCCCTTGCTGACTTTAGGATTTATTCTTTTATACCTACTTTGTCTGGGTGAATTACTATGTGTCTAGGAGTTGGTCTTCTCATGAGATGTCTTGCAGGGGTTCTCTGAATCTCTTGGGCTTGTCTAGTCATCTTTCTGACCAGATGAGGGAATTTTTCTTGAATGACCTCATGGAATGTTTGTTCCAGGGTGTTTTCTTCTTCTCTTTCTATTTCAGGTATTCCAATCAGACATGAGTTTGGTTTCTTGATAAAATTGCATATCTCTTGAAGAGTTTCTTCTTCTTTCTTAAGTTTTTTCTATATTTTTAATAGATTGGGTTAATTCCATATTTTGGTCTTCCAGCTCTGAGATTCTTTCTTCTGCTTGTTCAATTCTGCTTCCCATTCTTGTTAGTTTGTCATTTATTTCCTGATGGAGTTCTTTATTTCTGTTTTTCTAAATATGCTTTCTTGAGTTTGTCCAGCTCTGTTGCCATTTCATTTAATTTTAGCCCTTGCATTTCTTGATTTTTATTCATTCTATCCAATGATTCTCTGATCTCCATAAGTACTTTCTCGGCACTGTCGTTCTTGGAGATAGCCATAATTTGTGTCCTAGTAGCTGTTCTTTCTAGCACTGACTCTTTGCTGGGGCTCTGTTACCTGCAGTTCTTCTTTGTTTCGGGGGGTTTGCTTGTTTGCTTTCATTTGTAGCAGTTCTCCTATCTTTCTCTTTAATTATGTTGTTCAGTGGGAAATGAAGAAGCAGTCACTTCTGATATTTGTTCTACCTTTTGTCCTTCCTTGAGCTGGGGCTTCATGTTGTTCAATCATGAAGTGGGGCACTGTGCTGTCTCTTTACAATTTTCAGCATTTACTAGGGAATGAGGGGTGCTTTGAGGATCCAGAACCTATCGGCAGGTCAAAATGCTTACTATTTGGTGAATAGGCCAGCTGGGACTTGCTCTCCATCTCTGCACAATATGATCTTACAGAGTGTATGCTTTCATAACCCCTGAGTCCAAGACAGGTTATAAGAGGGAAAAGAAGAGAAGAAGGAAGGGGAAAAAGGGAAAAGAAGAAAGAAAAACAGAAAAAGAAAGAAAAAACACAAAAAAGCAGAGAAAGAACAAAGACAGAAAAATAGAAGAAGGAAAGAAAAGAGAAAAACAACCAACAAACAAAGCAACCAAACAAGATAATCAAACAAACAAAACAATACCACCGCCGTCTTGATCGGTTCTCTGTCTGCATCTATTGCCCAGCAGCTGGCTCAGGGTGGAAGATGAATCATCTAGGGTTCTGCATCTGCCATTTCCTACCAGGACTTGTACACTGGGGGCAATGTTCTCTGAGGTTGCAAAGAACAACCCAAGTGCAATGAAGAAACCAGCACCCAGTCTCAAGATGCAGTTATGCTGTTCTGCAAAGGCCGTCCTAGAGCACTTCTCTGCCCAGGCATTAGAGGGTCTGCTCAATTTCTCTGCCAGGAGCTATTGCTCCCTTCCCAGCAGTTACCAGTCTCTGGATCTCCGGACCTGGTGACAAGGCTCTGGAGCCCTATCCAGGCTCTGGGAGGGCTCTCCTCATGGCTTCCTTGGAAGTCTGCCTCAGGCTCTCTCCCTGTGTTCCCTCTGTGGCCCTCATTGTCAGTGTTCAGCTCACTCTAGCAGATTTTCCCTGGAAAAGCTCCCAAATTGTCTGCCACTATGTTTCCCACTCTGATAACATGTGTTTGTGTTCGGTTCAGTGTGTGTGGGTGAGGGTCGCTGTTTCTCCAGTATCATGCACTTGGAGTATCCTCTCTGGGCAAATGATGGTCAATTTCAGAGGGGTGCAGAGATCACCCCTTAGTCTCAGGATGCAGGCTGCTCAGGATGCAGGAAGCTCAGACAGGCAAGATAAAGCAGGTCTCTGCCCAGTGCCAGAACAGAGAAAATGGCAATGATTCGTGTTATTTTTCTCCAGCAGGGTTCAGCTCCAGATTTCTTCTCCACACATACTCCATGGTCCCTGCTGCCCATGCCTGGCCTATTGCTACAGGCGGTGGTGTGGGCCAGGCTCCAGGAGAACTCTTCTGCCTTCTCCCAAAAGATGCCCCAGGGATGGTGGATCTTTCTGCCCACAGCAGGTGCTGAATTCAGAACAGCAGCAAATTATAATCATTTCTGCTGTGGGCCCTGGGCACTTGATCCCACATCTCCCTTCAGTTGGACATTCGCTCATCCACTTGCACACACAAACAGATGCAGATTAGTTTTTTGTGCACTTACCCATGCAGAGATTCACACTCTGACAGAATCCCATGCCATCTTGCCCCCAATACATAGTTCATCTTTTTGTAGCACAAGTAGGCAATACACAGCATTAACAACCCCAACCCATTCACCAATGGGATCTGTGAAAAACAGGGTGTTCCTTGAAGCTTATAAAGAGTACATGCAAATAAAATCAAATCTATTCAGTGCTTTCCATGAAAGATTAGGGGGAAATGTTCTCTACATTTTTCTCCTTTTTCTGGTAGCTTCTTTAACAATCATTTTTCATCATTCAACCAGGGAGAGAGAGACAGCAACAGTGGGCCCAGCACACAAAGCCAGGGCTTAGGCAGAGGCTGGAAGGTAGGGTCCATCCAGCCCCCTGCTTGGCCTCTGAGCTTGGTACTGCGGTTCTGTGGCTCTGTGGCCTTTGAAGTCCCCACTGGTTTCTCATCAAGGGAACGCTACATCACCTACACATGAAGAGCAGAATGCATTCTATTGGGCTTCTCAACTGAAGAATTTCCAGGCTTTTACCATGCTATGTGCAGGTACAGTTGCTAAATGATCAGCCAAAAAGCAAAGACAAGACCTCACCTTGACCATTCTGCTTTTAAGTGCCTACCCCTATTAAAGGCAAGAAAACATGGACAGAATATTCCTACTCATCTTGGAAGACCTGTATAAAGAAATTTACAAATCTCCAAGCTTCCTTTTAAAATTGCTCCCCAAATCTAAATGGCCAGCCCATGTCTCTTCCTGGGAAGGCTAGGGGGCCTCCCATACTCCCACCCCAAACTGCATCTATATAAGCAGAGCAGCCACACCCTCCTTGGCACCACCATTTCGTAAAGTAGCTGGTATTGTTCTTGTCCCACTGAGCATTTATCAGTGTTACATGCCTCTGGGACACAGCAGTCCTCCCCAGGAGACTCCCTGGGGACAGAGAACATCTTTTTGTCTCCTTTCCCTGAAGTGCCTGGCCCACAATGAGTGGAGGTTGTGAAGTATCAAAGGGTACTCATCATTGTGTGTTCCCAAAAACATGGAGGGGTTGCATGCCACTGCTTTTGCCCAAAGGGTGAGAAGAGGGTGGACAGAAGCTGCACCCCTGTGTGTGGGCCACACAAGCTGTGCTATAGGGAGGACCACTTCCTGGAAGGCTGCAAACTTGAGCTCTTCAATGACTTTGCTCTGGCTCACACTCTAATTTTGTACTTCTGTTGTCTTGTGCGTCATCTATGAGAAACGTGGTCTCCTTGCTCACAGAAAAGGGGCAGGGATGCTGCACTAGGATTAAAGAGAGGGCCTACTGCATCCACCTCAGCTTGCTAAATTCTACCCATTTTTGAAGTCCTCTCCAATGCCATTTGCTTCCAGAAACCTCTCTTTGTCTCTCAGAGTGTTGAAGGCTTCCTGCCTCCTAGAGCTCTGCCCTTGCTTGTACCTCCTTGAAGTCTGAGTACTCCTGACACTCAAGAGAAGACTCCAGAGGGATTTCCCACTGCATTCCTTTGAAGACTAACACCTCTCTCAAAGTTTGAAAGACCTTACCCTCAAGAACTCTAGCTCAGCATCCTCTCCCAAGACTGCAGAAATGAGCCGGTGCATCTCTGCTACTTCGACTTGGACTCGGAAAGCAGTCATTCTCTCGATCAGACTTGCTGGGATGTAATCTTCAACTCGAAAGTACGCCTTACTCTCTACCTGCTAGAAATAAGATGCAGAGGGAAAGAGGGACAATCAAGACACCATCTCTGGGGCTCTGAGCAAAACAAAAACATTATCTGTAGTCGCAATCCCATGAGGAATACTCACCTGGAATATCACTTTCTACTATGTTAGAAGTGGAGCCAAACCCTGTGACATGAATAGCAGGGAGAGAAGACCCACCCATTTTTGAGCCCCTACTTATACCAGGTGATCTTCAGAGCACATTAGGCTCTTCCGGTCCTCACAGCAATACTATGAGGATGGCATTATTATTGTCATTGCCAAAATGAGCAAGAAGAAAAGTCATTTGACAGAGCTAAAGTCACACCACTTGAAAGTAACAGAAACAAGAGTTATCCACCCAAAGCCCTCACACATTCCATCATGCCACACCACTTCCCCAAAGGCACAGCACAACCCTGCTCCTAAAACTTTGGTTTTTTAAATTCATTTAGCATTTCTGCCTGTATACGCTCCTAGTATATGGTCCCCCCTTACAAGGGAGGCCATAGCTGTGGCACCATCTATGCACAAGATGTTCAAGAAGTAATCCCCCAAACAAGGGAAGATCTGACACCCACTGCCCCACCTAGATGAAGACTGAGGCTGTAGCCCCCCTAGTAGAGGATGGAAAATTGGATCACTCTGTGTTTGATAGTGGGTTCCCTGAACACAGACTCCTGGATAGAGAGAAGTATGCTGCAGTTCATGGAAGAGTGATCTTGGGGTCCACTGTAAAGAATGAGAAATGCAAGACCAGGTAGGGGGAAAAGTTGACTCTGCCTTTGTATTTCTGAATCAACCTGCCCTGGTCTCAGGTTGTCCCTTCCAGCTTAACCTTGGGCAAAGGAAATTACCCATGAATAAGGTAACTGGGAGCTGGGAGAATCTGGTCTACTCTGGAGTGGGGTAGACAAGTCAGACTGACAAAGGGATCTAAAAGGGAACAGCACAGTGTCCACTACATTCTACACTACTGGTGTGGGAGAGGCCTTTTCCCATGTGGCCGTGGACTGAGAATACTCCAGCTTAGTACTGACCCCTTGCCTGTTCTGAGCTCAGCTCGGAGGCACAAAGGGAAAGAAATTGCCCAGCACAGAAAAAGAATGCTATTAGAATGCCCCAAACCCAGAACACTGCCAATACCAAGTGCTTGTGAGGTTGTAGAATATTGCATTGCTGAAGAGGATGCAAAATGGTACAGCCATTTTAGAAGACAGTGTGGTGGTTTCTTTTAAAACTGAACATATGCTTACCAAACAATCTAGCAATCGTGTTCCTTTGTATTTACCCAAAGGAGTCAAAAACTTATGTCCACACAAAAACCTGCACACAATGTTTATAGCAGCCTTATTCATAATTGCCAAAACTTGGAAGAAAAAGATATCCTTCAGTAGGTGAGTAGGTAAATAAACTCTGGTACATCCAGACAATTATTCAGCACTAAAAAGAAATTAACTATAAAGCTATGAGAAGACGTGGAGGAACTTTACACGCATATTGCTAAGGGAAAGAAGCCAATTTGAAAAGGCTACATACTACATGATTCCAACCCTATGACATTCTGAAAAAAGCAAACCTATGGAAACAGTAAAAAGATCAGGGATCTGGGATGAATAGGCAAAGCACCAAGGATTTTTAGGGTCATGAAACTACTCTGTACAAAATTACGAAAGTTAATTATACAAATTGGGTCATTCTTGCCTTATCTAACTAAATTATAGTCAAGGGGCCAGGGAGAAAAAAGTCCTTGGAACACTTAGCACATGCTCTAAGAATTAATTTTTCCACAAGCCCAGCTGCTGAAATGACCTGCTATAACCCTTAGACCGGTTTTATCTAGTAGACACTAAAATGTCCTGCTGCAACTCTGACTAGCTTTACCTACCACTATCACTCTCCAACCAAAGCTTTTCAGCTCCCAAAAACTTCTTTAGAGCCATGAATTTCTTTTCAAAATGATATATAACATTTCTCTTTCTGATAAAATTATCAACCTTCTCTTCATTCTTTGAACATACTAAAGACCTCTCAGTCTGTGTGTATGTACCAAACTGCAATTTATGCTTTCCAAATAAAACATTTTAAATGTATAAATTTGTTTCTACAGATTATTTTACTTCAGCAATACTGTAATGATGGATACATGTCTTTATACATTTGTCAAAACCTATAGAATATACAACACCAAAATGTAGGCCCAGTGTAAACTATAGACTCTAAGTAATGATGTGTCAATATAAGTCATTGATTATAATAAATATACATCCTGGTGCAGGATGTGTATGGTGTTTTCAGGGGGAAGTCGTGCATATGTAGGAGCGGGGATATATGGGAAATCTCTGTAACTTCCACTCAATTTTGCTACATATCTAAAATTGTTCTAAAAAATAAAATCTATCAACACTTTCATAAAAATAATTTAAGATCTTTGACCAAGAATCTCATTGGTAGGAATATATCCAAGAAGAAAAGTCAACATGGAACCTAAAAAAGCTACAGGCACAAGAACATTTATTCCTATGTCATTCATAAAAGAGAAAAATCAGTAGCAACTTGAATGGTAATAATAGTTATCACTTACGTGGTGCTACCAGGTGAATGCCCACAGTAAGAGAATAAAAAAGCAAAGAAAGACCTGGCCCTGCAAAGGCATAACAAGCAGGCACTCCTGAGGATCATTAGGAAGGCCACCAGAGGACATGTGCCATTACGTGAGAAAGCAGAATGTAAATCAAATGTGGCAATGTTTACAACTGTATAAAAATCCCCACATGTGATCAATGCTAGAAGAAGATGCACCCAGAGGAAAGTTGCTCTGCTGTGATGATGTGATTAAGGAGATTTATTTTTATACTAAATTGCCTTTGTCTCCCTTTTAAAAATGCAAATGTAATCATGTCACTTCCCTGTTTAAAATTCCTCAGGGGTGCCCAATCTTTCACAACAGTGGTTTTTCAAATTATTTTCTTCTAGCCCCAAAATTATTTATCAAACACAACGTAAGCCTCTTAAGAGAGCACACTAAGTCCTCCCAGATATGACAGGTGGTACCCATCCAGCCTCACAGCCCCAATGAAATGCCTGCAACTCCTGGACAGACCAGCCTCCTCCTCCTGCCCACTCAACAGCACAAAGAGGCCTCCCCTAATGTTCTCTGAAGTGCCCACCACAATGACTGGCACATAGCAAAGCAAGGCCATGGAAGTGATTCCTGGCTGTGTTCTTACTAGCTTACCTAATCTCACAGAGCCACATTTTTCTCAACAGCAAATGAAAATAGCACTGGCTTTGCAGGGCTGGTGTAAGGATTCAATGGTGTCAAGCACAGAGTAGGACCTCCATAGAGTAGAATGAGCAAATGTGCAAATGAATGGATTTGTGTAACCTGCTGCCTGTAAACAGAGAAAGGAAAAAAGGTCTGCCTTTGGGGGCCATATGGGGGCAGTAGAGAGCACCTCAGAAATGTTCTGGACCAGGGAACCAAGAGAGGCTGACGCTTGGCAGGATCTGGGGGATAGGGAGGCAGGAGGCAGAGGTGAGGCAGAAGCAGGGTGAAATCAGTCAGAAACTAGACAGGCACAAGGAGTCACTAGAATGGGGGCCGGGACAACTCTGGGACACTGTGCTCCCAGGCTGGGGCAGTGCCAGGGGCAGAAAATGAAGTTTCAGTCCTCATAGACCAAGGTGGGAACAGGGGAGTTGGGAATTGAGCTACAACTCCCCAACAAACACACTGCTGACTTTCCTGATGGGTGAATTTTATCTGTAGTGTCATCCAGTCCAGGAGCCAGTATTCCATTCATTCACTCAATCCTGACATCTATAGCTCTTGAACAAATGTCCTGTGTTTCAAGTGCGGCTTTAGTGCTGGGGAAATAGGATGACAAAAAAATGCTTACCCTCAGGTAGTTTCCATTCTAATGGGAGAGAAAGATAATAAGGTTGATAATTAAAATGAATGCATTGTGCCAGGTAGTGATAAATGCTGTGAACAAAAATCCAGCATGGGGTGGGGATACAGAGAGACTTGGCAGACTCTAGGACATGGCAGCACCTTCTGGAGCTGTACTGAGAGGAAAACAAGACAATGTCAGGATAGTCTGAGAAGAGATTTTAAAACTGCAGTCTGCAGTCCATTAGAGAGCTATGAAATCAATTTAGGGGCTCATAACCGGCATTTAAACTAACTAGAATAGAATGGGTAATATCAATGTGCATCACAGAGAAAGGATGCACCTCATTTCCTGAAATTTTTTGCTTCAGTTTTCTTACAATATACATGTGTAGTATGAGGTTGAGTTATAATGCCCATTTATCCTGGGTCATGGCTGGCACAAAATGTTTAAAAGGCATTGTTCTCAAAGAATTGTGAGCATATCCTTACTTTTCAGTCCAGTTCTTGGGCAGAGGCAGACAAGCTATAACCTCCCTCTCTACCCCACACACCATGTGGGGCATAAGAACACAAAACTCCATGAATGTGTCTACACTTAGTTGTGACTGCTGCCTCTCCTTCTCAGACTTGAAGTATGTTGGTCTATGAGGGCTGCCATAACACATACCCCAGACCAGGTGGCTTAAACAATAGAAATTTATTTTCTCACAGCTCTGGAGGCTAAAAGTTCAAGACAAGGTGTCTGCAGGTTTGGTTTCTTCTCTTCTTGGCTTGCAGGCAACCACCTTCTCACCATGTCCCCTCACATGGTCTTTCCTCTGTGCTTGTGTCTCCTTGGTATCTCCTTTGTGCATCCAAAATTCATATTCTTATAAGGACTCCAGTCAGATCGGATTAGGGCCTACCCTAATAGCTTCATTTCCACTTAATCACCTCTTTAAAGGCCCTATCTCCAAATGTAGTTACCTTCCGAAGTACTGGGAATTAGAACGTCCACATACGAATTTTGAGAGTTATGATTCAGTCCATAAACAGACCCAGATGATCCAGCAGAATAGAGCTTTAGGCATACATGGCTCCTTCATTCACCAGTGATGTAGCATCTTTGACCACTAAGTGCCCACTGGTGAGAGACATATTTTTTGGCCATGTGTGACCATTCACCTTCTTCTTGGAGATGGAGAACCACCCCTTCTCCCTATCAGTCCATGCACTTTGCAATGTGGGCTCCACCTCTGGCTAGGGTGACCATCTGACTCAAGTCTAACCAGAGTACATCATCTCCCTGCCCAGTGATTGGCTTAGGGTGGGCATATGACCTTATCAGAGTCAAAGGGACAGAGCCCCAGGATTTTTGTGGCATTTCCAAGAGTCTAACTCTCCCTTTGTTCTGGGCTGGAACCTACAGGATGGAATTAGGAAGACTCCAAAGGCAAAACTGACAAAAGAACGCACAGCCTAGAGACACAGGAAGCCCAAGTCTTGCTGACATCATTAGAGTCCCTACCACTTAAGCTCCAAGGTAAGATAGAGTAGAGGCTTGTCACAGAAACACGGGGAGGCTAAAGGAGGACCTGGACCCTTTAGTTTTGCAAACCAGTAAATTATATGTTGTATTTAAGCCAATCTGAGCTTGATTTTTTATCACTTGTAATCAAGAAAGCTCTTCCTAATCTCCCGTGCTGGCCAAGGGTATCGGGGAGATGCTGATAAGAACCCAGAGGAGAGAAGGGAGTTTCCATCTACTTGTGGGGACAGGAAGACTATGGGGCTGCAGCTGGCCTTGAAAGATGTGTAAGATTGGGATGGATGTACAGACACTATGAGAAAGCTTTCAAAGGCCCAGGGACTTGCCAGTTCTTGGGATTGCAAGGATAAAATATCTTTTTGAAGATGTCTGGAAAAGGGTATAGGTTAAATGTTTTAATTTTTTTCTTTTGATCAGTGAATTCCTCCTTCACATAACCCTCTTGGAGCAGGGCATGTCTTCTCCAATCTAGGCATTCCCCAATAACACCCACCTTTTGTCACATGTCAGTGGTGAGTGCCCTCCAAGATAAAGCCCAGCATGCTGGCTGGTAGGTCACCAGGGAGGAGACTGGTGGAAGCTTCACCTGCCTCAACCTTTTCTCTCTGCTCCTATGGATGCATCCAGAGATGGACCCCACATTTAGACATTGTATCTCAAAGCTGCATCACACTGCTCAGTCTCTGTTGAGATTTGTTGCCAAGACTATTCCCCTCAACTTGCACACGGGTGGGGATGGGGCTGGGGCTCTTCATGAACTCCAAATCAAAACATACTGCTCTATGTAACAGCTCACCTGGTTGGTCCCTCCTTCTTGCCTGATGTCCCCATTTTGAATCTTAATTAGGTAAGTAAATATATTAGCATCACCCCTTCCTACTTTCAGGCATCTGCAAGTTAAATAGCCAGTCACCTCTATTAACTACTTGAGGATCAGAATAGAGAACCATTGTAGGCAAGTTAAACCAAAGAAACTTGCATGTGATTCTGCTGCAGTGGCAAGGTCTTGACCAACATGATTAAAGCTGCCATTTGAGAAGCAGTGCATCCCAAAAGAATCAGCACTGGCCTTTGAATGACACACCTGGGCTCAAATTTAGACTTTACCACCTACTAGCCACATGAGCTTCAGATTGCTCATCTAAAAAAATGTGAGTGATAATGTCAACTCTGTGATATTATCACAGAAACTTGTAATGTTGCTGTGAGAACTGAGTTAACACTATGGAAAATGTCTAGGTCAAGGCCAGGTACATGGTCATCTCTCAGTAAAGGTTGGGTATTACTATTGATGATGATAGAAACTCAATAAATTAGTAAATTACTGTCTTTGGGGGACCTAGTTGACTTGAGCTACATTACAATGTATACATTTGATTTATACATAAACTCTATATCTCCCAGGGCCTAGAGAAAAGCACTCAGTGAATGTTTTCTGGATAAATAGGTGAATGGGTGGGTGGACAGGTGGATGATGGATGAATTGATGGATATGTGAGTGGGTGGATGGATGGATAAATGATAGGTGGGTGAGTGGGTGGAAGGATGGATGAATAGGTGGATGGGTGGGTGTGTGGGTGGTTAGATGGATGGGTGGATACATATAGTTTACCTCAATCTTGGTGGCAAATTCTAACAGCCTTTCTCAAAGACAGAGTTTCCACACTACTAGCAGTCTCCCCCATCCCATAACTGCTTCCGTGACCCTACCCAAAGGCCCTGGATGTCTGCCCCTACCTCCTTGGGGTAATTGCCAAACTCAGCCTGCAAGGCAAGAACCCCCAGCTGCAGCAGCGTCTCTTCATTACAGTACAACCTCTCTTCCAGGATGTCTTTCCGAAGCTGCAGGTAAAACTGATGCCTTGTCAGGCTATGCCTGGGAAGGAAATGCAGGAATAAAGGTAAATGCTGAGGGGAAGGAGAATGCTAACACAGGTGAGTTTTCTCCATCTGGGAAGCTGGGAAAGTTGGAAAGAAAGGATACAACACAGCAGAACCCAGAGGCCAATGCCAGTAAGGCAAATGTGGTCTCCTTCACCCACACCATGCTTCCTGTCACTAGTTGAGAGCTACTCTGTGCCAGGCACTTCACACAAACCCACAGAGATGCTTGTTGCTGTGGTTCAAGTGAGAAAGCCACTGCTCAGTTTGGTGATATTTCTAATAAACAAAGGAATAAAGAGGCAGTGATCCAACCACAAACCCATGTCCCTCTCCTTCAGCCTTCATCACTGAGCTGCTGGGTTGTATGTGGAGGGAGAGGAGGCATATTGGGGTCATAGAGAGAGAACTTTGACTTTGAGTGGAGTATGTTTGAAACAAAAGATCAAGTTCTCATTCTTACCAGGACCTGCCTCACAAAGCTGATTTTTCCTCTTTGTTCTACCATTCTCAGAATTCACTCAACAGAAGACCACAATAGCTATCGTTATTGGTATGTAATTTACAGTTTGCAAAGCACTTGCCTATCCATTGCCTCTAAGTCAGCCTGACATACAAACATCCTTTAAGGAACAAATGAACAGGTTTGCAGCACTCACTGGAGCAGCCCATAGTGGCTGATGAAGAACTTTATCCTCAGGAAGAGTGTGAAGGTATTCATGGAGGTCTTCTGGGGCTGCTCACTCCAGCCTTCAGGGGCTATTTTGCACAATCTGGTCTCATTTTCCAGGAAAAAGAACTCTTTACCTGAAATGGAAATTGAGAGTGTATGAAGGGAGAATTAGTAGGGAATGCACCATCCCTCAGACCCACGGCCTTGAGCTCTACTCAGAGGGTTGCACCTGAGCAGTGTTAGTGCAGGAGAGAGTGGGAAGCAAGTCCTCTGGATACCTGATACCAAGGAGCCTTTGTTGGAGCCAAGAGGAGAAGACAAAAAGGAGAGAATTAAATATAGGAAATTCAGCACCGAGAGGAGGGAATATGGTCATTTATCTCATCTTAGAGATGTCACTTACATCTGCCTTTCTACTGTCATCTTATGGAGATAAACATCAAAGGAAAGGGATACTATTAAATTCATGGCATGCAACAAACACATGAAGAAATGCTCAACCTCACTAATCATCAGGGAGATGCAAAT